TTGTCACAAAATAACTTAAGTGGTCTTTCATTTCCATCCAAAATATGCAGTCTAGTGACAATATTTTACAGTCAAATTCCATAATCAAAATCAGAATATTCAACGATCTCCAATTGGTCTGATTTTCCTAAATGTGATCATGTAATCCTTTGTTCTTTATAGATACTGAATAACCTAATGACTGCTTTCCAAATTTCCATCGCAAAGTCAATTAAATATATGCCTAGCATTCCGACAATGAATTTTATATCCGGATGTGTGCAAACCCAAGTATACATTAATTTTCAATTGCTAAAGTATAGAAAATTTGATGTATATCCTTTACCTTTAAATTTATCCTTGTGACATTGATTGAGACTAAAGTTGTTTCCCTTAATTGTAGGGGTATTACTTGATTTTCATATCTACATTACAAATTTTTTAAGAATCTTATCGATACAACTCTTTTGTGGTAATCCAAAAATACACCAAGAATAATTCTTGTGTATCTATATCCTTAATACAAAAAAAGTATTACCAAGATTTGCTTACTCCCACTGAACTTGTGATATCCACAATCATCAACTGAATACATCTCGAAATCAAATGAGATAATTATTTGATAAAATTGTGATACCATTTCGGAAAACCAGTTTAAGCCCATAGATGTATTTTTTTAATTTGTAAACCATTTAATGTAACTTACGATCAAAATATGTCACATATACCATAATTGTCCTAAAAGAGTTTTTATAGAAACCAGAGAAAAATCTCTTTATGCATGGCATCAATCCACTCTTTAGAATTATTCCTTTCATGACTTGATGAAAGTTGATTGATAAATTCTTCTTTCGTCAATCCATGTCATCCTTATTTTCTTGGAGAAAGACTATAAAGTTATCCAGATTGTCTTTCTTCTTTTATAGTGGATTTCCTTAATAACATTTGTTCTTGAGGTTGTTGAGTTTGTTTTTCTGGAACAATCTATTGATTGTGTATGTGGGATTTTGTAATATTGTCTTGATCCGAAATTACTTCTTGAACAAGATTTGGAGCAAGAATTTGTCCCTAAACCAAATCATTATCAATTGGAATAGAATGAATATATACATATTTTTCATCCGAGATAAAATCATAACCTTATAACCTTATCTCCCATCGCAAACTCTACATCCTCAAGAAATCGAACATTTCCCTTTTCGAAAATTGACCTGATAGTGAGACCTTTAAAAATTCGTAACCCCTTAACAATTACGTTACTTGGAACTTTGTTGAGAATTTAAGTTGCAGTCTGTAGTGCTTATACCTAGAAAGATCATGATATATTGTGGGCAGATTCCACATTCCTCTAGGAATATAGCGAAAGGCCCTGGACTTTGTTATCCTAATTCGTCATATCTGTCATAGTATTCACCACTATGATAAGATCAGACTTGTTAAATTCTTTTACTGAGTCGATTTTCGAACTCAGTCTTGTATGCCTTGAACATGTCCAGTGTTTAGGATTTCTCATAGATGAAATATAGGTAGCCATATTGAGAAAAAAT